GTATAACCCACAGCGCAAGAAAGGAAGGTCCCCAAAGTTAACTCCAGCATGGGAAGGTCCTTATACAGTCATCAAGAGGATAAATGATGTTGTGTACCGGATTCATCGCAGCCCTAGAAGTAAGATGAAAGTAGTTCATCTGGATCGATTGAAGAGATACCAGACAGGAAACCTTGATCGGGACGATCAAATTTGAGAAGGGGGCAATGTCAAGGTGTATTACTGGTTGCATAACTGCATACTGCTAAAAAATCGCAATGTGCATTGAGGAACCTGGCGCATTCGCCAGAAAGTAAAGAAAATTATAGAATTCTTTAGAAAAATCTAGAAACAACCGCCAGGGGGTATATAAGGCCCGCGCTTTGACAGTTGGACAAGTTTAAAGTTTAAAGTTTGAAGTCTAAAGTTTGAAAATACCGCGAAATACCGTTAGAGTAATAGTAGTTGCATAAGTTGTGTTGTAAATAGTATAAGTTGTGTGTACAGAGTGAAACAAATAAATTCGTTAAGTATTTTATCGTGAGTTTAAATAGTGGACCCACGGAATCCGTAACAATATGCTAGACGTCCAGAAACCTTCGTGTGAGAACTTAGAATCGAGACGATCGACTTATTGTAAGTTTACCGCTAAGAAAACGCCGTTTGCCAGCTTTTCAAATTAATAATGAATTGCACCTAAGCAACATACATGTAAGTGAACGGACTGTAAGAAGATTGATCAAGAAGGCCTGCTTCGAGAACACAACTAGATCTGTTGACTAGGATCAAAAGCAAAGGCATGGTTTTAATGTAAAAATTATAAAAAAATGTTAGTGTCTTCTTTAAAAGCAAATATCTCCAACGAAAATAAAGCTATTGAGATGAACCAAAAGACAAACTATCAAGAAATAATGTACCTAGATGATAAAATAAAATTTTTAAATTCCTTTCTGTCTTAACATATTCCATAAGGAGTTTCGAACTTTCACCACAATATCAACATTTTGTTTTCCTTCGTATATTTGACAGATGGGAACTTTCATTTTTTAGAAAGAGATACTAAAATTTCAAATAATTTAGCTACATATTGCTTTAAAAATCATTAAAATCGGTTCGCCAGAACAAAATATATGAAGCTTTAAAATATACACAACCAAACTTATATGGAATCACTCTTTATTTCTGACTAAATTTCTTGCAAGGATAAAAATTGGTATACAACTTTAAGATAAGGCTTTTTGTTGTAAATAAACATGATAATAAAGAATAAACGACTGCTGCGATTTATTTTCTTTTGAATTTTATGTTCAGTAGTAAAAATCACGATTGTCCGGTAATTTTCATTCAATACAAAAAAATTAAAAAATGCCTTATGTTGGACTGACAGATGTACAGAGGGGAAGAATGATCGCTCTCACCGAACAAGGAACGCTCCAGAGAGACGCAGCAGAGATAGTAGGCGTTACCCAGGGTGTTGTATCGAAAACATATGCAAGATACTTGGAATTAGGAACACACAAGGATAGGCCCATACAAATTCGTCAAAGAGTCACAACTGAACAACAAGATCGCCTCGTGTGCTAAATTGCTAGAATAAATCCCAATGTTTCTCATCCAGAGCTACAAAGACAACTTCTGGCAGCTACAAGTGTGAACATTTCAGTTGAAACCATAAGAAAAAGTCTTTGTGCACGAGGGTTTTACAGTAGGCGAGAGTTACGGATCCCACAGTTATCTCGGCAAAATAAAATTGACCGGCTAAATTGATGCCTTCAACATCAAAACTGCACAACTGAGAATTGGCAAAATGTTCTTTTTTCGGATGAGAGCAGAATTGGCCTAAGATCAGATAACCATCGAATTCGGGTTATTAGAGCTCCAGGAAGGCGAGCGAGATTTCAGGCTGCCAAATCTGTACCAAGATATAAAGGAGGAACTGTAATGTTCTGGGGAGGTATTATACTCAGAGCAAAAACTCCATTGTTACCACTTCAACAAATTTCAACGGGTCGGAAATATGTTCATTTGGTGCTAGAACCTATCGTTAGTCTTTGGAGAGCTGCAATTGGGGATAATTTTAACTTCATGCGCGATAGTGCACCTCCCCATACAAGCAGAGTGACTAGAGAACGTCTTGAAACGGAAGGTGTTATGGTTTTGGACTGGCTTGCCTATTTACCAGATCTAAACCCTATCGAACACTTGTGGGACTCGCTCAAAAGAAGGGTTAGAGCTCGTCGAAACAATCCAGGAAATCTCGCAAGCTTATTGATGCAGCATTAGCATAATGGGAAAACATACCCCATGATAACGTGGATAATTTAACAAGAAGCATGCCAGCGCGGATAGAAGCTTGCATAAGGGCTAGAGGTGGTAACAAAGAATATTAAAATTATCAATTTTCTTTTTGTTTAAGCTTTTTGGCCATTAAAAATTTAAATCTTAATTTTGTTTCAGAAACCACAAAATTACCATTTTGTTTATTTTGGGAACTGATTTTTTTTTATTGCTATATGGATTATTTTTCATTAAAAGTCATTGGTAAAGACTGAGTTTTATTCACAAACAGAAAATTTTCATACATCTCAAAAATTATGGAAAATAATAGGTGATTCCATATAAGTTTGGTTGTGTGTACATCAAAAATTTAAGGAACCCGTTTTTTTGTGCCTTTGAGTGTAGTACATGTTTAGATGAAATGTAAATTAAATGATATGATTCTTATTTCACGTCAACACACATACACTATATTTATAAGAACAATAGAAAGAATAGCTTAGACATGATTACATATGCATTCAAATCATGACCTCGGTCTATTTAACATTATCTGATAATCCAATAAAGAAAGAGTTTAATTTAAAATCTTCTAAACATACCAAATGATTAAAATTTCCGTATTTTAATAGCTTTGATAAATGTTTTATACAATAGGGTAAGAAAAAACGGCGTCAGCGATGGCTTTGAAGTGAACTATATATAACCGCGTCAATTTATATGTAAAATTATATTAGGAATGCTATCGATCGCGTCATTTCTAAACCAACTGAACCCCATCTTTTCGATCATACGGTAGAAAAGCAAGTTCAATTATTTATCACTCGAAGGAGGCCGTTAATTTTTTTAGATATTTTTTTACAAAAAAACTAATATTTATAATTTTCCGAAATCAAGCACAGACAATATTACAGGAACTATACAGGGTAGCGCACCTCATTCGCCTCGGTTGATTATACGAAAACGGAAATATGTAGAAACAAAACATTTTATGGGTATATGTGGGATGGCAATGCGCATAATTTAAAATTATTTTGAAATGTACAGGGTGTGCCAGAACTAAGATTCATACCAAAGTTATATTTTTTCTTATGGAACACCCGGTATTTTATTTCTTATTTGGACATAAAATAAGGTATTTATTATAAGGGTTTAGTATGTTTAAAAGCTTTGGTTTTTGAGATATTTAAAGATATTTAAATATGCATGCTATAATAAATAAGTTTGTCAACACCTTGTACATTACTGTTCAGAATTAATTCTTGTGCTAACTTTTAAGCCAGAGCAATAAACTTTACTAAAAAATTTGATTGCTTCCTTAAATGTATACAGGGGTATCAAAAATTGCTGGTCTATTTTAAATATTTATTTTACATAAAAACTTCGTTATTTCAAATGCAACACTATGTATTTTTTTTACATAAGTCGAGGCAGATTTGAATGCTCTCTCAAACTATATTTATTATTTCCTATACTTATCTGGCTCAGATTTTAACTAAAAAGCGATTTTTCAATAAAATTGTACTCAAGATGGCTGGTGTCGCCATGGCCATTTTCTAGTGACACTTAGTAGCTATTTTCAAAATCGACATTAGTTTATGGACTTTATTTAAATTTATAACAGGTTATTTTTATTTAATTTACCCACAATAAGGTTAATAAGTAAGTATTTATTATTTCATCAAGATAAATGAAGCACTATCTGCTGGCGGAAGAAATGGATATGTTATTAGTGATTATATTTTGTGAGGACAATTGCTTGGGGGTTGGCCTGAAGGGTTTATGCTCAAATATATCCAAACAGGAATTTTCTTGACAAGCATTCCTTTGAAAAACTACTTTTTATATTTCATAGAGCTGATAATGTGGTATATGAAAAATCTATTAGGCAGAAACCTGTCGTTGGATTTGGAGAAAATGAATTTGCCTTAATTGGCTCTTTTATAGAAAATCCAATATCTCTACAAGTCATCGTAATATAAATCAAAGAACTACTTCTTTATTTTTCTTGATAAAATAATAAATACTTACTTATTAAACTTTGTTACTTATTAAACTTCGTAAAATTAAATAAAAGCAAACTGTACAAACTGTACAACAAAATTATAGTATGCATATTTAAATATATTTAAATATCTCAAAAACCAAAGCATTTAAACATACTAAACCCTTATAATAAATGTTTTATTTTATGCCAAGAATCCAAAAATGAAATAAAATACCGGGTGTTCCATTAGCAAAAATACAACTATGGTATGGATCTTAGTTCTGACACACCCTGTACATTTGAAAATAATTTTAAATTATGCACATTGCCTCTCTACATATACCCATAAAAGAAATTGTTTCTACATGTTTTCGTTTTCGTATAATCAACCGAGGCGAATGAGGTGCACCACCCTGTATAAGTAAATGTTTTACTGCATATTTAATCTTATTTGATTTATATGAACGAAAAAAAACCGGCGTCCAGTTGGCTTTGAAATGAACATCGCTGACATTCCCCATATAATTTTACATACAACTTTACAGCGATCTTCATTTCATAGCCATCGCCGACGCCGTTTTTTTTCGATCATGTTGTACTTCATTATTAAAAAAGTATACAAATTTTTACAGTAGTAACATAAATAAAAATGATAAATTTGATACAATGCAAACGAGATTACTAAAAAGCTAAGACGGTAACAAGACACAATGACAATATTTAAACAATTGTTTATCTAACATTGTTTAATATATGTATGACTTTTCTTCATTCTCATTTTTGTGAAATTTTATGTAAAGATAAGGCGGTAATAGTGTCCTGACAAAATGGATAAAGTACACGAATATTACGATTACGTTTTACCACTTATTGTGGATGCTGGCAAGGTAAGCAGTGAAAACAATAATTACAAAAGTAATTCTTCCGGTCCATAGATTTCTATTTTAAAATTTTCTCAAAAAGCCCAATAAATGAGTACAGGATGTGCCATTTTCGTGTGATGTATTAGTACGTTGATATTGATAACGTTGATATAAAAAAAATTATAAAGTTTTGATATGTTGAGGTTATACATAGGGTAGAGGGGGGCAGGTTCGGACGGTTTTGGATAAGGTGATATTTTACTTTTATTTTTTTTTTCGCCAAATTAAATGTTTTAGAGATGGCAATAGCTTGGTTGATATGTTTTAAAACCAATAATTTAGCAGATGCCAATAAAACCTGCATCGTTTTTTGAAAAAAATAAAATTACAAATGTGTTGCATATGTCCAAAGGTGTCCCATGGTGGGGCAGTTTTGGACACCCATGGGGTACATCCGGACATATACTTCACAAACACTTTTTTCTTTGAAATTTTAGTGGTTTATCATTATTTAGTAACATAAAAACTTATAACCTAAAGGAACTTCAAAAATAAACATGTAAACACATAGGAAATTTAGCACTTAAACCTACAAAATTAAATTCCTAATATTAATAACAAGAAAAAACAATAATAATAACATAAATGAATAAGTTTCTGTTAAATAGTGTATTATTTTAAATTAAAAGAACTAAAATTAACGTTAAATTTTAAAAAACTAGCCAAGCGAGCATTCCCAGCAACTGTAGTTGGTTTGGGCAGTTTTGCCTCTATGTCACATCTTGCGACATTTGAAATATCATCCACAAAAGGAAAATGGAAACGGTTCTGCGAGTGCCTCAAATATTTTATAACAAACTCGCCGTATTCTGCAAGCTCTATTACTTGTCCGACATAATACACAACTGTTTTTTTTGTGGGGAATCTTACAAGAACAAAGTCGTCACATGAAATTGTCTCGTCATCTAGAAAAAACAAAATATTTCTTTATGAAAGATACTGAACCGTTAGAAAAATAAAGCAAACATTTTTACCTAGAAGTTTAGTGAATTCATCGCAGTCAGATTTCATGCCAGTATCCGAGTCAGATGGAGACTCGAGGAATCTGTTTTTCTTTTTCATTGCTTTAAAATATTCTGATTCAGAATCTGAAGATGTGGCACTTTCGTTAGCTCTTTTCGTTACTTTTCTTAAAGTCTTTTTAGTTTGCTTCTCTTGAACATTTGGTTTGGTTTTTAGGGATTTTTTTTTTCAATTTTGTTGCGCTTGTTTGAATCACTAACTTTTTTTTGGTTTCACTCTTGTCTAATTTTTGCCTTCTAACGTCTTCTAATTCTTCAACTCGAATTTTCTCTGGGGTGCTTGTGTAAGTTCTAGATTTTCCTATACGAGATTTCCTGTTAGTTTTTCGTGGCGGTGCTTTTGGCAACGGTTTAACATCTGATGGCTTAACAATAGGATGCACAGAAATAATATTAACAGGTGGTTTTGTTACTTCATCGATGATTTCATCAATTACTGAACGAATCATGGCTGTTGTTTTAACTTCTTTGGTTACACAATGAACGGACACATCATTTAAAGATGTAAGATGATCAGAAGCGGAAGGCGGATGATCAGAAGAGGTGGACGGAATATTGAAACTGTTAATCGAATGATTGAAAGATGTAGATGGTTGATTAAGATGGTCGTTCGGCTGTGACGTAAGATCTCCGGTACTTTCAGGTTGAGGCCGGTCTGTGGCGTAGGCTCCAAAGAAGTCACTGTCAGAGAAAATAAGCCTATTAATGGGCCACAAACCGGTGCTTGAAAATCCGCTTGTAATGTTTTTTGGTGTAAAACTTTGAAGATAGGGTCCTGACGTCAGCTTAGCGATGTCATAAATCGTTATCGGTGCTCCTGGGTTGTTCAGGATATGATCATTAAAAGAGACTTTGCATTTTTGCTTAAATGGTCCATACACTGCTTTGTCAAGAGGCTGCATCTTATGTGTACAGTGTGGCGGGAATGACAACAGTACAATACTATGATCCCTGGAATAATTAATAGCCTCCGCTGACACATGAGTCTCATGATTGTCCATTAACAAAAGTATGGGATTCGTTGGACTGCTCTGAGTATGGTTGCTGATATGTTCTAATAATCTTACAAATAACTGAGCAGTCATCCACTCAGACTCTGAGCCGTTCCCTATGGCACCAGGAGTAGAACCATTCAAAAAATGGTTTTTTATTCGAGCCCGAGGATATATATACATTGGGGGAATTGTGTTACCTGTAGCAGATATAATGCCGCAAAATGTAACTAATGTGCCCCTTTCTCCAGAAACACATTGTCCTACAACTCTTTTACCAGTTTCTGCAACTACTTTGGGAGCCTGAATTACTGTGGATATACCAGTCTCATCCGTATTCCAAATACGATTAGGAAGAAACCCGTATTTAGTTTGCACATCAGAGTAATTCTTAAAAAAGTCTTCAACATTATATTTGTTAAATGCTGACGCACGTGCCACACTGGTGTTTTCGGGCTTCCTTAATGATAGCCTTGGATGCCGCTTCATAAATGAGCGCATCCATTCGACACCAGCTATTTCGTTTGTTTTCCATTGTTGAGGAAAATGTTTTCCTAATTTAACTGCATATTCATAAGCTAATTTGCGAGTTGCCTGATATGTCAAACCATATAAAATTTGTGATGTTTGCTTAAGATATGATTCTAGCTCATTTTCTTCAGGTACAGAAAATACTTGCCTCGTCGCATATTTTGATAAGCCAATACTTGGCAACGAATCCTCATCCCCTGGCAGTCCTGGCTTTTTTAACTCTGTCTTGAAGCGTTGATTTTTTCACCCCATGTTTAGTGCTAGCGATACGTATGGAAATTTTATTTTGTAGTACATCTAGAACCGCTGTTCGAATTTTTGCTTCGGAAACCACGGGTTCGTTTCGCTTCCTAACATAGTTTCTAACCATCCTTAAAATAATAAGTATATCATTTATAATGTTGCGAGCCGGTGTGGACTCGACCTAACCTCACAATATGGCCCGCCCTCGGATGACCTTAACATCGCACAGACACCGCAATGATTCATTCGTTCGAGAAGAATCGAGACCCACTAGAATGGACTCGTACATACGAGAACATTCGAAAACCTTCTCTATGAGCCTAACGATCTTTGGACTATTCTAGATTTCTTTTACCTGTCGGTATAAAAGCCGGCGGCAGTGGCCTAGAGAGGGCAGTTATAAATATACCAGTGCAGTTGACGCGCTAAAATTCAAAATAAATTCTTAGTTATAAATCGTTTGTAAATAGTTCTATAAGTCTTTTATCGTTATTGTTTTTGTTAATTAGTGTTAAATAAATAGTGTTTAAATAAATTGTGACTTTCTATCCACACGGAACCGACGAAAAACGTAACAATAATTTGAGTACAAATGGGTATATTAATGTTTAGTAGCCTGTATATGTGGGGCACCCTCGGACAGTCCGAATATGCCCCACTTTGTACTGTCCGGATGTGCCCCACATGTAGAAAATTCAAACAACCGAAAAAATATTCAAATTACGCGCTTGTGGATTCTTGAAAGATAGGTTATGTGATATAAAACTATCATACTTTCTAGGCATATTCCTTTAAAACAATGAAATTACAACACTCAATCGTGTAAAACCTTACAAGTTAATATACATAATACTTACTTGAGGTCACTATATATTTATTTCGGTAATAACTTTAAAATTTCTTTAGGTACCGGCACAAAATTTTAGCTCGCAACATGAAAGAACCACTATTACCACCTGTTAAAATGCGAAAACGTATTTAGTTTTGGAAAGCGGTAAATTTAAATGTCCGGAGGTACCCCATGTCCGAACGTGCCCCACTCTACCCTACTAAAAGGAGACTTATTAAAATCAAAAGAGTTCCTAACTGTAAAGTGTGAGCTTCACCCCCAAAAAACAACCCCCAATACGCACTGCGGTGGCTTTTCTCGTTTTTCTCGAAAACCATTAGTCGCACAGAATAATTTTATTCTTGTCAAAAATATTCCTTATAAAATTTGCTACAAAAAAGGTTCTATTCATTATTTATATTTATCCAATGCATTTCGAGTAATAACCGTTTGAAAAATGGAGTACAAAAAAAATACAGGTCGCCTTTCAAATTATAGACTCCCAAGGTATTTTAACGTGCTAAATGTACACGCAACAGATATAATACTGTATAATCTAAACAAAAATATCCACTAATTAGTCTATTCCACTAAACTGACATTCATACTTTCATCTACATATTGTCATCGTCTATAGTTTCTAGAATGTGCTAAGTATTCGAACAACTTTGCCCACGACAGGTTCCGCACATAGTTGTACATTTCATGTCGGCTTTAATGCAACTGCATCTTTTTACGCAATCTTGTTTGCTGATGTTCAAATTATTCGTACTGCCATCAAAATATCTGAGAAAAACGAACAAGTTCTAGTCGTTGGACAAGATGTCGATCTTGTTGTTTTATTAGCAGTACTTTTCCCCGATGAAAAAGACATTCTTTTTCTGAAAGAAGCCATAGGTAATGTGAAACAACGAATGTATAGTTCGGGAGATTTGCAATCATTCAGTATTATACGTAATTTAAAAAAATCAATTTTATTTATTCACGCTATTAGCGGGCGTGACACAACATCAGGATTTTTTGGAAAAGGAAAACAACAACACGTACAAATATTTAATAAAGAAAAAGATATTTTTAACAACGCAAAGTCAACATCTGAAGAAATTGAAAAAGCTGGAGAGACGTTTATACTGAAACTGTACAAACTTCAATCACTGAAGGGAGCCTTGGTGAGCAAAGATACGCTTGATTCAATAAGATAGTTGGTCAAGCAAACAGCACGGTACTTTTATCAAAATTGCTTCCCACATCTGCTGCAGCTAGGTAATATTCCCGGAGAACATATCTTCAAGTACAAATATGGTAAGAACAACCTATAAAACCGGACCAGTAGGGCTGGAAGAAAAT